TGGGAGCAGCAGCATCACCCCCATCCCAGCTGCTGGAGACACCACAAAGCCAAGGAGAAACCCTGTAGTATCCTCGGTGTAAGCCCTTTAGAGCCAACACGCTCCTTGCTTGAGCTTGACCCCATGGTTTGGATCAGCACAAAGCCCTCCCTGGGCTGTGGGGACAGCGGGTGGGCACAAGGAGGACATTGGGTGGCCCAAATCTGCTATTCAGCAGCTTAGAAGCTGCTGAGGAACCAAATCCTTTGGGATTAGGCTGCGTGTCTGTGACCTGCAGCGGGGCCTGGGCACCCCTGCTGCCATGGGACCATTAAAGCTCATGGAAGGATTTGGGTTGGAAGGGACCTTAAAGCTCATAGAACCACGGAATGGTTCACTCGGGATGGTGATGGTGGGAGAGGCTGAACACGGCCCTGAGCTCCTCCAGGGATGGGCTTGGATGGCCCCAGCATCCCTGGGAGTGGTGAGTGGCCACCATGGTCCCCATAGACCCCATGTTATGGGACCGACGTGAAGATGGAGACCAGGAAAGCCCTGGAGATTCCTCCCCATGGCTACTGATGCTCGGCCCCAAGGAGCCACCTTGGTGCTCTCCTCACCCATGGGACCTTCTCACACCATCTCCACTGCTCTGACCCATGGTTGGGGTGGATGAAGGATGAGACCCCCATCACCAGCCCCAGCCCCACAACTCCTCACTCCACCAGCCAGCCCCATCTCTGGTGCTTGGCTTTGGGGGAGTGGTGGCCCCAGGAGCATCCTTCGGATGAGTGTGGGGTGAGGGTGGCAGTGGAGGGGACCACGGGGTTGGGTTGGGGTGCAATGGGGGTGCAGCGGTGGGTTGGGGCATTACCTGGAGGCGAGGTCTCCCAGCAGCCTGGTGTGGGTCAAAGGAGACAACACATCAGTCACCATCCCCACCACGGACATCCCACCACCCCACACCATGAGTGTCCCCCCCGTCTGTGTCCCCATCATGCTGCTGAGTCCCAGCAAAGGTCTGGGGGGAACCAGACTCCATGTGCAGCACAGGGGGGTCCCCACCACTCACCCTCCTCGTGACACCACCAGCTTCACCTTCACCTTGTAGGAGACAATAATGCCCAGGATCTCCTTGTTGGCCCCATCTCTTAACCTGGAGGAAGGGGCAGGTGGGCATCAGTGAAGGGGGGTCCATAGGGACCAACCCCTGAACCCTCCTGAGGTGTCCCCACAGGGTCTCCTCCACCCCAAGCACCCCCCTGGAGCAGGAGCTGGAGCCCACCAGGGCTTGGTGTCCCCCCCGCAGAGCCCGGGGGGCCATGGTGGGCTCACAGTGTGCTGGAGGCCAGGTTGGTGTCCTCGTGCTTGAGCTTCCCGTCCAGCGCCAGGCCCCGCTTCTCCCGGTTGTTGGCCAGGAACGGGGTCAGGGTGTAGACCTTGCAGAACGTCGAGCTCGGGGCCACCATGTCACTGGGGGTCATGGACACCATCAGCCAGAGGCTTCCCCCCACCTCTGATAATTGCCCATGGGCCACCCTGAACATCCCATCCCAGGCTGGGGAACATCCCTGTGCCAGGCCCAGTCTGGAGGAAATCTCCATCCCAGCCCCATCCTAGAGGACATTTCCATCCCAGACCCATCCTGGAGGTCATCTCCATCCTGGACCCATCCTAGAGGTCATCTCCATCCTGGACCCATCCTAGAGGTCATCTCCATTCCAACCCCAGATCCAGCCCAGACATCTCCATCCCAACTCCATCCCAACCCCAGGCCCATCATAGAGGACATCTCCACCCCACACCCAGCCCAGATGTCTCCAGCCCAGCCTGGTGAACATCTCCATCCCAGCCAAACACCTATCCCAGACATCTCCATCCCAACTCCATCCCAACCCCAGACATCTCTATCCCAGCCTGGTGAACATCTCCATCCCAGCATGGTGAATGTCTCCATCCCAACTCCATTCCAACCCCAGGCCCATAATACAGGACATCTCCATCCCACACCCAGCCCAGCCATCTCCATCCCAGCCTGGTGAACGTCTCCATCCCAGCTCCATCCCAACCCCAGACCCAGCCCAGCCATCTCTATCCCTGCCCCACCCCAGAGCCCATCTCCATCCAGGAGGACGCAGATGGTGACACCTCCAGGGCGCCATCAAAAGCAGGTCTCCATCTCCCCGCTCCTCCCACCGGGACCTGCTCGCTGAGCACAACATCCCGCGGGTGCTGCACTGGAGCAGGAGACCTCCAGGGCTCCTCCCGGGCTCCTCTGAGGTCCCTCATGCTGTCCCCAGGCAGCGGGTACTCACTCCGCGTCCTCCACGGCCACCGGGCACTTGTACTGGGCGGTGTTGAAGAGGCAGATGTCCGCGTACTGGCGCACTGGGGCGAGAGGTGGGGACACGCGGGTCAAGGGGGACCTCGGTGGGGACGGGGGCAGCAGCAGCGACGGACGCACCCGTGCTCCTCACCTGAGATCTTGATCTTCTTCACCGTCTTGTTGGTGTTGTTGGTGACGTGGACGTTGACGCTGATGGGTTCTCCATGGTAGTAGATCTGTGGAGGAGCAAAGGAAGGACAGTGAGGTCCTCGTCCTCCACTGGGCCACCCCACAGCGTGTGTCCCCCCCCGTCCTCAGCCACCTCCTTGTCCAGGGAGGCCTCGAGGTGCAGCGGTTTGTCGGACATGAGGAACTGCCGCGTGGTCTCTGCCATGGGCTGGGGGCCGGGGCGCTCCGGCGCGTACTGCACCTTCCTGATGACCAGGCGCACCGAGTTCCTGCGGGTGGCGACAGGAGAACCTCTGCCCACGGGCTCTGGCTCGGCCCGTGCCGGGGCAGACCCGTTCGGGGCATGAGGAGGATGCTGCGAGGGGCAGCTCCATGGTCAGTCCCAGCAGGGGCACC